CTTGAGCGTGAATATATGCAACAATTTATCGGGCTTTTTATGGATGCTCTAATTAATACACAAGACCAATACGAGGAGTGTGAATTCTTGGTCTTCCCATCATTTTTTTTTTTAAGTTATGGCTAGTGACGGACCCGGTAAGAGTGATTGTAGGTCACTTGACCTAGGTAAAGTCAATAAATAAAATTTTATACATGTAGTTTTGTGAAGATTCGGTGGCTTAATTGGTTAAATATTAATTCTGGGTTCGAGTCTCCCATTCTCCATTTTGATGTATTTTTTATTTTTATTTTTGCTACTGACCCACTTTAGAAGAATTCCTGGGTTCGTCACTGGTTATGGCGGATGGATCATTTGTAGTATTATTATGTTCCCACAATTTAATTTCGTCGACCGGCTTGATAGATTGACGCTAGTGTTAATATGCCATTTAGTCGTTAAGATAATTGTAAGACACTTTTGTTACGATTATGGTGGTCCCCTAATATCAGTTATCATGTGATATCCACAAGTTTTAGTCATCAACATATCAAATTTCTATCATGCTAGCTCCCTGATAACATCTTTCAATAGAACAAAAATAAAAATAAAATTTTTATTTCGAGAATTGTTTAACATAGTAATTTCATTCGATTTCTCGTTCTAAATCCAAATTCAAGAAAATAATGATCCATGTTCGATATACTACTTTAATCAAGAACATGTGCATGGAAAATAAACTAAGGGAAGTGATTGACGCTGTTTGATTACGTAAATAAAAACACTGCATCGTATTCAAATTACAATACCCACGATTGTGAAAAACAGATTTGCACCAGAAATCTCTTAACTTCATTAATCAACTCCAAGTGCCTTTTATAGTGGCTTACAAAGAAAGAACTGACTCAAACGAGAAAATAGGAAACAACTACGACCACTAACCCAACTTAAGCCACTTGACTCTAACTGAACATTGACTAAGTAAACAACAAAACCAGAAGCAAATAAAACGCAAAGCAGAACACAAAAACATAACAACTAATAAAACAGACTCCAACAACGATTACATTCATTTGTTTCTTATTATAGTCACTCCTTTTGATTAATTTCTTGTGCATAGAAAAAAAAAACGATCATTATAGTAAACACTTTGTCTAAGCCATCTCTTTGTCCAATCTCAGCGACTCCCGTCTCTCCTTCTTAACCTTCTTTATAAACGCTTCGAACTTCCGATCCATCTCCTCAGGCGATATCTCCTTCTTCATCTTCACCGGCGGCTTCACCGTCGACTGATAATAATTATTAGCCACGTCCTTGAAAATCTCTGAATTCCTCAAAGCAGGTTTTACATCACCGGCGTCAACGTCAACTTCGAACTTTCCCTCCTCCGGTATCATCTTCAACGTATTCTCCATTTTCGTCGTCTCGTGCCGCTTCGGTCTCTCCACTCTCAACGCCTCCTTTCTACTAGCCATTATGTCACCTTTTACACTCACTTTGACTAGTTTCCTGTGGCCAGAACTAGCCAGAACCAGATGCTTCTTAACCGGAGAATCTATGTCCGGTTCGTCCGTCACCGGCGGCAACACTACAAACTCATCTCCACCGTTGATCAGTCGTGAATT